AGTCCCTAAATTTATGTCATCATTTTTAATTTTACTTCAAAATAATTATTTGCAATTAGGCCCCCAAAATTAATTATGTGGAAACTACTGTTTCACATTATGGTTGAATGTTGCAAAAATGAACTTTCAAAAGTTGGCTCTTATACATTTTGATTTATGTGTGCAATTCTCAGTCCTAAGGGCAAGGTGAATTCTCAAAATATAGAATTATTTTGGGTTGGATTAATTGAATTATATATACAAAGCATGTTTTAATAATAAAATAATTTAATTAAATATGAAATATATATATCATCCAATATGAAAAATTAGAATGCTCTTAAAAAGAACTAGAAAATTAAATATTATTAAAAGAGGAAGTTTAAAAAAGAATTTATTTGTTTAGGGCAACTCTTTGAAAATTTAGTATCTCTTATTAGTCTTCAAACCTTTCACAATTTCATTATTCTCATCATCACTATTTCTCTTAACTTATATCACATGTATCCATTATTTATTTATTTATGTATTTATTAGGACATATCTTTAGATTTCGGTTGGGATAGCTTTTTAACTGCTTTTTAAAACAGCTTTTTGATACATAAATTTTTATACTAAAAAATAACTTTAAAAACAGTAAGAAAGCTGCCCTAAACGAAACCTAAATATATATTAGGCATCCATGATTTGATGTTATAAATTAAGATTTCACTTGGGATAGCTTTTTTACTGCTTTTTAAAACAGCTTTTTAATACAAAGATGAAAAATTTTATACTAAAAAAAAATAAAAAAAAAATGAAAAATTTTATACTAGAAAGCAATATCAAGAAGCAGTAAGAAAATCGTCCCAAACGAAACTTAAGTATTCACCCAAAATACTATATGCTCAAAATCTCACAATATGTAACATGTTAGATTAGAGGGATTGTAAAAACTAAAACAAAGTATGTTAAAAGTATAATTAGAATCATTCATAATTAAAGTTTTTTAAGACTTAATTGTATCTCTTGCAGATTATTCATCAAATGATACCTGCACATGAGGGATTATCATGGAGAGAGATGGACTGTAATCTAACACTATCTTCCTTTGATTATCAGAAGGGATGTGAAGAAGGAAGGGATGGGAGCTCAAGTATAGAGTTTGATGCTTTTGATGAGATCCCTATAAGCCAAATTGATTCTAATATTGCTAGTAAAAGCCTACTTGAAGATAATGAGATAAATCTAGAGCTCACAATCTCATCAAAATCATATAATTATAGAATTTAAACTAAGCATGTATTAATTACAAAGATTAATGCTATATAATCCCACTCATAGTCCAAAAAAAAAATTTCTTAATT